GGGTGTGTGTGTGGGTGTGTGTGTGGATTATCATCTACAGTGGTTTATCAATACAGTCCACAAGAACAATGAGCCTGATCTCAGTTGCAGCCAAAACTGTGGCCATTACAAAACGCCTGCTAATCCTAATTCTTGAAAGGTCATCCTATGGGTTTTGTCATTCACCTTAACTCATTTGGGTTTTCCTGAAATCAATCTTCCTTAGTGCTGTCTTTCACATACGTAGAATTTCCTATCCAGAGTGTTCTATCACACCGATACAAGAATAAAATACTATCTACGCATCCTCTGTTTTACAAGATACAGGTATGGGCAAGCTTTTTTAGAAATTCATGGTGTTTCAAAAACTAAACCTGATGCTTTTGCTGAAATACTGCCATAGAATCATAGCAACATTTAGGTTGGAAAAGGCCTTTAAGATCATCAAGTCCAACCGTTAGCCTAGCACTGCCAAGTCCACCACTAAACCATGTCTCATGTGTATGTGCACCTGAAATACGGTGATCAGTTTTGATTATTATAATTATAACCTTCAGAACAGGCTTCACTTTAAACATTCATCATTGCCCTTTTTAGTCAATGTCTAGACAGCAGTAAGTACATTGTATTTGAGCCCTTTTCCATGTTCTTCTGAGAGCTGCATTGTTTTGTTGGAAAGATCTGATTCTAGGAAAATGCAAATTGTGATTTTTATAGACAAATAGTTACATTTGTATTAAACATGGACTGTAAGAACAAATGAATGTTTTTAGCATCATTCAGTGCTTTCAAATAGTCATTTTTCATTAGTGCAGTGATTGGTATTTGTTTCAGAATGTTCTAGGGAACAGTTGTTTAAAGGTATTGAATAATTAAAGTAAAACTTGCATTAACAGTTGAATTACAGGTTCGTTGCAGCCTAATACATAATTATTAATTGTAACTGAAGACATTCTTTTGTTTGTGAAGGAGAGATAGAAGTATATGACACTTTGAAAGTATCAGCGTGAAGGCAATGCACTATGCCAACCACAGATGGGAATATTAGTGAGAAATATGCTGCCACCACTTTCTTTTTATGCTAATAGAAAACCTTGTTTGTCCAAGCTGCTTGAAAGTAGTCTGTCCTTTGTGTTTCACTGCACACTCCTGTGCTATTGTTTGTAATTCATAGTCTGTTTAAATCAACTGAACATCAAGGAGAGCATAATTGTTGAGGGCACCTGATGTACTTCGTGCCACTAAGACTCATTTTAAATATATCATGGATATGTTCATTACTTTGTTCTCTGAATGAAATCTATTGTTTGTTTATTTGTTAAAAAAAAAACATAAAATAATTACTTTGATTTATTTAAAAGAACACCAGTGTTTGGTGGGAACACATTTTGAGATTCTATGTGCTTCCTCTCTAGTCCAAGTAAATGAGATTTCATATATTGTCTTTTGTGCTTGAGAGTTTGTTCCAAACAAATAGCTAATAGAAGAAATTAACTTAAATGCAGAATACATACAATTAACAAGCACATTAGTCTTGTGGCCAGAGTACAAATGATGCTAATAAAGCAATATACATGATGTATCAGTGCCTATAATACAACTCAAATCAGTAAGGAAACAGTGCTGGAAATGCATTACACGGGTATTCATCACATGGTACTTTTTCTGTCAGAAGGCTGTAGTTCATCTCTTGAATGAGACCACTCAACTGGAGCTGAAAACACAAAGCTTTTCCTGCTTCCTGAGCAGGCTGGCTCGTCAGTGGCACTCCCTGATTTGTTTCTAGGCACTGGGACAGCTGTTGTATCTTTTCTGGCCCATCCTTTCTGATCTTATCTAATAAGAAGATTCTATTATGGTTATTAAGAGCCTTCCAGAAAGATACTCTTCAACCAGAAATTGTAGGCTGACAGGTTTTGCATGTATAGTTTTCAGTGATTCTTTCCATTTCCCTTACTTGACAAGAATAATAGGAGATGAAAGAAGGGGAATTTTGTATTTATTGCAGTAATATCCATGAATTCCATGGTACCATTGTCCTGTGATGAAATCTAACATTGTCTCTTATGGTTTTGACCCGTCCTTCTTGTTGAAGTAATGTAAAATACAACGTTCTAGATTAATAATCATGAAATCAGTACTTTCTCTCCATTTTTCTACACTCTTCAGAATTGCTGGATTCCATAGTCAACACATGTTTTGGTTTGGTCGTGTGATGTTTTTTAAACTCGAGTACTTTTATTTGAGTGCAGCAGAAGACATCTCCTTATGTCTCTAGTATCGTTTGCAGCAATTTAAGTGAAGAAAGCTGAAAACCAAGAGGTGATCATTAGTCACACAGATTTTCTGGCTAGTTAAATTATCTCTAAATTCAACCATGTATTGTAAAACTTTATTCTGTGTGAGATCTAAAGAATATCTTAGGAAATGATGCGGGCATTCAATGCATTTAACTGCTCCCTTTGGGCAAATTGTCCTCCTCACTCTTGTAACTAAAATGCAGTGAGTTCAATAAAAGGAGAAGGGGTCAGGGTGAGCTAGGGGGTAGAAGAGGAAAGGAGTGACTTCTGTTTGACCTGGCTGACTCTTTACAGTAAACTGTCATTATTTCATGGGCATCAAGTTTTGTGAGGGACATTAGGTCAAGACTCTTACTATACCCATTAGTCTCTATAAATTCTCCCCAAAGCTGCTGAGATTTAAGTACATTCTGTGCTAGTACTGGTCCCACATTAATTTACTTTGATTTATCCACTATTATTTAAGCATCTTAGCCCCTAAGCCTTCAGGCATGTGGCAATTCTTCAACAAGAAGTATGAGACAAAATAAATCAAGGTTCTTTACATTCATAGATTAATAAAAAATGTATTTTGTTAAAGCCATACCAAAAAAAGAAAGAACTCTGCTAGCACTTTATAGATCTGAAGTAAAGCCTGCAGAATTCTTTATTTTTCTTAATTAAGAATATTTTATTCTCCATGCTTGAGAATGATAGTTTGATTGAGATTGAGAATGATCGTTTGTGATAGACACACGAGCAGGGTAGGAGACAGTTTCCTCACTAGTATTTAAATATAAACAGATATGAACTCACTGCTCTTGACTGCTACAACTGGGTAGAGAAACTAGCTCTCATCCTGCCTGAGCCCAAGAATTGCTGATATTTCTAAGTGTGTTCTTATTCCCTAGCCTGAAAATGGGATTGACTCAAACACTTCTTTTTGCAATTGACTTTTTTTTTTTTTGTATTTTAATATAAATAAATAAATATTCTACCTTGTATGTTTTGCTATTACAAGCCTTGGACATGGGCTTTGTCCAGAAACACTCTTCCTGTAGGTTTTGGAATCAGCAGTCACAAGTTTCAGGCTGTTTCTTGGGACTCTGCATATGTCTTTGATCTCTTCTGTTCCAGAATGATGAATTCCTGTTGAAGGCACTTGTAGAGAAAGGCTATATCGGTCTAGAGACCGATAAAATGGAGTAAGCAGAGGTTGAAAGGGTTCTAGTTCGTACTCCAGTCTAAAATCATAAGTTCATGCTCTAAAAATACCTAGGATATAAATCCCAAGGTAACAGAAGGCATTTTCATGCTTGAAGCATTTTTTCCTTAGAACAGCTCTTATATTCAAATATCCTTATATCATGTATTAAATTAGTTTAGTAAATCTGAGGAATGATTAAAGGAATTGGTTTTCTGTGTCAGCTGGATTTTTAAAAAAATCAATAGAATCGCTTGGGTTAATTCAGTCAGTAAGCTGTGTTTGACAGCTGATGGATCGTTTCTTACAACATGAAGAATTTTTTCAAAAAAGCTTGATAAAATCAGGGTCCAGACTGAGAAAACCTCTAAGCAGGGCTCTTAAAGGACATTAGTTATTTTTTCAGAGGAGCAAAAATAGAATCAAACACCTTCAGAATTGTCCCTGCAATCTTGAACAAACAGCAACAGAAAAATTGCTGCGCAGTGCTTAATTATTACTTAGCAGTAAGTTAACCCAGGTACCACTGAGTCACTTCCTAGCTTTTACGTTTCACATGGTTCACTAAATTCTTTGTTTCCTGTGTGTGTTGATTTTTTCTTTCCCCAGAGATTTGCCTTTTGACCAAAGGCCGTCGAACTGCCAGTGTACGAGCAGACACGTACTGTCGCCTATATTCCCTCTCGGTGGACAACTTCAACGAGGTTCTGGAAGAGTACCCCATGATGAGAAGGGCCTTTGAAACAGTGGCAATTGATAGACTTGACAGGATAGGTACTTTTTTTTTTTTCATATTAGGAATTTTAAAACCTGTCTACCTTTTCTTTTCCTTGAGTAGAAAGATAAAATGTCCAGATTAAACCCTTCTTAAAAGTTTTGTTTCTGTTACACTGCAGTAAATGTGTCCAGACAAGAAATTCTGCAATCTCACTTTTAAATAATAAAAGGCTTTAAGTTCTAGAAAGCTTTCATACTCCTCTGAGGATTATTTGTATACTTTAATTATCATTAGTATTATTTATTAATCCTGAATATTTATTTTGCTGCCCTCAGCATTTGATAGGGTTTATTCTGTTTCATGAGCATTAGATGACATTTTCCCACATAAATTGTTTACAGATGACATCTATAACGCTGGGAAGAGCTGAAGCCTCTCAGCAGTCACAAAATCCGTGTTTGTTGAAGTGAATTAATCCTTTGCAGCAGGCCTGTCATTTTCCTCACAACATGGGCGCTGCTAGCATTGATGGCTGCACACTGGCATTACTCAGATCTGCTTATAGTCAGAAAAGCAGGCCAACGATATCCAAGTGAAAGGCAGAAAGATATGACAGGTTATCAAAACAGGGTGTACAAAGTCTGCTGCTCTTGCATCCACACATTCTGGACCTCTCTAGTAGGACATGCTAGATAAAATACATGGTCTTTGGCCAGGAGAATTGCGCTCTGATCATTGTTATTGACACTGGATTTAAAATGCAGCTATGCATAAAAAAAAATACGTTTATCCCGTTTGGTGGTGTCTCTTCAACTCTTCAACCTCACAAGAAAACTCCAGTGTAAGGATTTCCCCACATAACTCTTTCTCAATACAGTTATGGCTGTAGTTTCTTCAAAGCAAATACAGAAAGAATTGCAGGGAAATGTCATTGTGCTGACTATTCTAAGCTGAAGATATGTCTTGGAAGAAAGCATGTTTTCTTTAAGCCTGCAAGAGTAAAGAAATTAAATACAGGTATACAGGTTACTAATATTTAATAGGCCTGGTTTAGTATGTTGCAGATTGTGATCACTCAGTGCATTACTTTATCATAGCAAGACTTTTCAGACTCTTAAAGTTTGTCTTGCAAGACTCTCTGGGAATGTAGTCCAACTCTAAGTAATATATGCCTAAATAATATTAGTAGTGAAGTCCACTCTGCCCTTGGAGTAGCAATCCCGTCTGAAGTGCTGTGTTTACAATATGAAATCTACACAGAACAAAAGATAAAATATGAACCTTTATATTAAAAAAGAAACAATTGAGTGCAATTGTGTTCCTGTGCATCTGATGACACAGAATAGTGTCTACATCTTGCAGACACTGAGAGCCATCAGGCAAACATCAGGACACAGTGTACAGCAGTCTTTATTGTGCAAACAGGTGTCACATTATCCGTGAGTTCGTATTAGATTACAAACCTTTAAAAAGATGATTTCTTGCAAACTAGTGGTCACTGGGTACTAATGTCTAATTAGTTCCAGGGAATGTGCTAAGTGGCAGGTGTATCTGTAAGTTATGTAACAGTTTAGTGGCAATTAGGACAGTTTTGCAATGAGAGAGAAAGACGTTATACATGCAGAGCCCGATGGCTTTTTCCACGCTGTTGTTCAGTAAATTACCATGGTTACATTTTCAGAATAAATGTAGTAGTACCAATACATGACAAGTGAAGAGGCACAGAAAGTCCAGGTGTCTTTGCACGCAGTGGTGTTACGAAAGCCCGCCGTGCTGGTGCAGAGAGAGGGAGCACTGGGTTTGCGTGGAGGCCAGCCGTCGGGAGCTGCCTGCCAGCATGAGTCACTGTGGCACTGCCCGGTGTGGCACAGCCTACTGCAGTGGGCTTGCCGCCGAGCGGTAGCCCCTGCTCAGCCCTGTGCGTGCTGAGGCTTTATGATATATAGCCCTCAGTGAGGGGTGCTGAAACACAAAGTCAGAGCAGGGGTCTGCCCCTGTGTGTCAGGCTTGCTAACTCTTCTGCCTCTCTGTGAAGGGAAGAAGAACTCAATCCTCCTGCAGAAGTTCCAGAAGGACCTCAACACCGGGGTTTTCAACAACCAGGAGAATGAGATCTTGAAGCAGATCGTGAAGCATGACAGGGAGATGGTACAGACCATCGTCCCGGTGAGCTTGCAGCAGATGCCCACCCTGAACTCCAGCACCTCTGCCTCGTCGTCACGCGTCAGGACGCAGTCCCCTCCCGTGTACACTGCCAGCAGCCTGTCCCACGGAAACCTGCACTCCCCCTCGCCCAGCACGCAGACGCCCCAGCAGGCTGTCATCCTCTCTCCCTGCTCCTACACCACCGCTGTCTGCAGCCCGCCCGTACAGAGCCCTCTGGCTAGCCGAACTTTCCAGTATGCCTCGCCCACCGCCTCACAGCTTTCTCTCATGCAGCAGCAGCCGCAGGCACCCCAGCAGCCCCCCGGGGCTGCGCAGAAGAACGAGGTCCACAAGAGCACCCAGGCCCTCCACAATACCAACCTGACCCGGGAGGTGCGGCCCCTCTCTGCCTCTCAGCCTTCCCTGCCCCATGAGATCTCCACCCTGATTGCCAGGCCTCACCCCACCGTGGGGGAGTCCCTTGCCTCCCTTCCACAGCCCGCCCCAGGCCCCAGCGTGCCCCCGGCCAGCCGGGCCACCGTCCCCCAGCGGGTCTCACTCTTCCGACAGATGTCCTCGGGAGCTATCCCCCCGAACCGGGGGGCCGCACCACCTCCAGCCCAGCTGCAAAGGGATTCTTCCGCAGTCTTAAGCACAGAGGCCGAGGGAGACAAACCACGATTCGCGTCAAACTTATGATCCCCGGTAACTGTGACCAACAGACTTGTAATGAACCGAGCACCGTCCCCAGAACTGTTTTAGCCTGTTTCCTAATGTACCCCAGCAGTCTACTATGAGAAAAATATTTTAGACAGCTTTGCCCTACGTAACGAATGTAAACATTATATATATATGAAATATATATATATAAAAAAAAGGAATTAAAAAAACTTGTTTGAATTCATGTCTTCCTTTCTTGCAACCATTAAAAAAATCTAAATTCAGCTGTAAAATTACTTATTTTTAATTCGTTGACTTTAAAATCAGTCTAACAGATTTCCCTGTTTATAACGTTTGCTATTTTCATGGGAAAATTGTCAACACAATAACAAATTTCAAACAAGTATATTAAAAAAAAAAAGATAAATATCAGTCTAACTAATATATAGCACTGACCAACTGATATTCTGAAACCTTTGTTATTTCCCATTGCATACACATTGTTAATTTATTTTGAAGTATTTAGTTGTTATTTCCCATTGCATTTCATATATTAGCACTGTCCTTTGGGAATTAGATTGGAAAAGAATTAAATTACAAACACCTACAGTCAAAAGGCTGGCGCTAGCACTCCACTGGATAGGTTGTAACCTTACAATATGTCAGCCCTTCTATTGTTTCAGAAAACTGTGTGGACTTCGATCTTCACATTACTAAAGACTTTTCAAAGACTATAAATATTGCCATTGTAAATAACTTTTTAGACCCAAACAAAAGTAGCTGCTGTGTGGTGTACCATTGCAAGATCTTTGTTTAGAAATTTAGGTTCTGCTCTTCACTTCAAAATTTACAGTTTTAAAATTTGTTAAAGCTAAGTGCAACACAACTGTTAAATTGTAATGCAATGGCTTAAAACCTACAATGTTACTTTTACATGCAATGTTTTATGCAAAATTGTACGCTTGATCCTGCAAACCGCTTGTACTTCACCAATACCATCACTTTTCTTCTCCTTGCCCTCAGTAGCATCTGAGAATATTCCATGCATGCTTTGGGGAGGAAAAAAAAAAAAAAAAAAAAAAGAGAAAATAAAGGGGATAAAAATAGGTTCAGTCAGCCATTGTAGGAAAAAGCTTTATGGTATCTTAGAAAATAATAACCATCCATTGTATCTACCTTAAAATTCCTATAATGCTGACTTTGAATCTCTGATTTAAGTCTAGAAGTGAGATTTTTCATTTAAAGGATTATTTGTAGACCACAGCTTGATTTAGGCTTTCAGGTGCTTTCTGTGTCTTCACTGTAGTTTTGTAGTTGACTGTGGTGTTAATTTACAAAAATAAATATAAAATAGTCTGTCTGGAAATGCACGATTTGCTCTGTGTATATTGTAATTAAATGGTTAGTATATCCTAAGGCATGTAGTGTCAAACATAGCCCATAGGTATGAGGTTTATTATTTTCTATGTCTCCAAAACAGAAAGGAAATGGTGACAGAAAGCAGGGTTAAAGCATACTGTTTTGTGAATGTTTTGTTTTGTTTGCTCAAACGTTCATGTTATCTTATCGAGAAAAAAAGGTCTTTCGTAATCATTTGTGCCTGATTTGTCATGTTAAATAGAGATTGAAACTAAATGTGTCATAATTTAACTCATTGAAAAATCAGCATTATGGATATGGTACAAGCATACATTCTGTTCCTTAAAACTCAGCTGACTCATGTTAAGGAAGTGAGTGCAAAGGAGTTCTTCCTTTCCCATTAATGCTGTGTTTAATAATGCATGGAAAAATTAAATAACATCACAAACTACGTAATGCAGTGAATCCAGATGTACTTGAGAGCCAAGTAAATATTCTAAAGCTAACAGAGATTGAACCCATGCTGCCTGTTATGCCTTTTACTAAAGTGGTATATCAAATAAAAATTTCGAAAAATCTTCCACTTTTTGCTGACTCCCACTCACCAGTGAAAATCGATGTAATTAACCCATTAACATGCTGCTGCCGTTAATTTAAGGGGCACAGAGTAGTATATGGGGAATTGATTGTTTAAAAGTGTTTGGAACATTATGGATACGCTGCAAGACCATTTATTTATCAGTACAATAACCCTTATATTATTTTAATACTAACGAATTCTATCAGTTAATTAAGATCATATACTGATCTTTCAAACTGTTTAAGGTTTACATTAATAGGAGTTATGGGGTTAGTAGCGAAATATTTTTATATATATTTTTATTTTATTTTAAGCACTATGAAGAAATATTAATTCACATGGTCTTTCAGTGAAACCATAAATAATTTTTAATGACTTTGTAATAGTGTGGACAATATCTAGGATTTGTATGTTAATTAAAAAAAATGGTACAGGGTATAAAATTATATACGTATATATATATATGTATGTATGAGTGTACATATACTTAGATTAAGAAACAAATGACTCACATTCCTGTAATATAAAGGTCCATTGCTACTGTCAGAACTGACCTATTTTCTCTGTACATAAGTAAGCCCATAAGTATGAAATCTCACATCTGTACAGGATGAAATGTATTAATGAAAAAGGTTGGATCTTAACTGCTGCTGGGAAGGCTATAGAGCTGATTCTTACAATAACTGTATGATCAGGGATGAGTTAGATTTTTTCTTTTGTCTTTGCTCAAAGCCATAAATAAATATATCTAAAAGATTATTAATAAATTGAAGAAAATATATAAAAAATAAAACCATGAATATTTTTTGGTTTCAATATCTTTATGACTGAGCCAGTTTTGCTTTACTATGAAAGAAGAACTGTTTGCTTTTCTCTTTTCTTTGTTTTGAGCCCAGAATTGATATGCACTAAGTGTGGGGAGGTGGGAAAAATTATGAGCAATTATATGCACTGTAGAAAAAAGAGGGCTTAGAAATTGGAGGATACTACCTGATTTACTCAAGCAGTTCCTAAGCTGTATTTCCTCTGTAGAGCAGAGGAATTCATTGTGCTAAAACCATTTTCTTTACAAAACTCTCAGTTAAGCCATTACCGCTAACCTGTACAAATATTTGAAACTGAAGTTTACTTATACATAAAATTTTAAATATCCTGGGGGAGAATCTCAAGTAGTTGTTAGTGTAACTTAAGGAAACTGTATTCTATCATATTTTCATTTTATCTTACTACATGTCCCAATCCCAGGTGGTTTGCCACTGAACTTGTGTATAATAGTTGAGATTTCAAGGGAACGTTGATGTGGAAGTAGTGTTCGTTAATTACATTTTAGGTCATTGTAAACGAACAAACGTAGTGCATTCAAACCAATAGTAGATTTGATTTTGGTTTGGATTTTTTTTTTTTTTTTTGCATTAACTTCAGTAGGATCAACATAATCCTGGATTGACAAACTGTGATTTTAAGCAAGCATGAGTAGTTGTATTTTCAAATTGCTCCCTAAAGTGTATTGTGAATTATTTTCAGTGTTTTTTTTAATTATTATTATTATTTTGCATTACCAAGATATAGCTCCAGTCCAATTGTAGTCAATGAAATGATTTCCAAAAGGACCAGCATTGTACTAGAAAATTCTTGTTTAGCAGCCAAATTCATTTCTCGTGTCTACATTTGACCACTGCACAGGGTATACTTTGGTGTTTGGTCCAGTCTTATTATTTCGTACATGTTTGTGTACAGAACCAAAAGAAACAAAGTGTTGTTTTTAAGTGGTATTTCATATCACTATATCTGATATCGACATGTACCTACACACCAATGTATATATTTTTAAAATCTATCTGTTTGTAATAACTTTAGCTACCTCAGCTTACTTCCTATCTTACCTTAATTTAAAAGGCAGCAGCAGAACTGGAACCAAAGTAAATCTTATTTTAAACAGCAGACTTTCATGTCTTCTTGCATGTTATTAAGAGTTAAGCTTAATATTTCTATTTTCAAAATTTACTCACAAGTTCTCACTATGACTTCAATATTTCTATCCATGTGAGTTCTTTTCCACCTTATAGGTGACATTGTTCAGTGAAGAAAAATGTTGTGTTTTAAACAAACCTGTAACTCACCTGCTCTTGGAACACACAGTGACATTAGTAATTTCTGCTGTTCTGAAGTCCTTTGTTCACATGAAAAATGCTACAAGATAGGAACAGAAAGTGTTTGTTTAGAAATCATGAGTCTGTGCTGCAAACGTTATCTGCTACAGTCCAGAACACGATATAAGAATTGTATGAGCAAATTTACTTGTTTAGTGGATTGTTGATTAGTATTTAGTTTCCTCTCTTTTTTTTTTTTTTTTTTTAAGCAGGGAAGAGTAAGAACATTAAAATTGCCCTAGAGCATATCATCTGAGAAAAACATGTTGTGAATCTTGAATCTATAAATTTTTGCCTACAGTCAGTACCCAGTGCTCCTTTACATACTTAGGAGTTTGAATCACGTACTTGATTGGTGTGGTGGGTCATACAGGCAGATGACATAATTTCTGGTTACATTTGCCTCACCTCTGTGAAGACATGCAATATCTTAACATGCGACTACCTTAACATGCAGTATCTTAAGAACTTATGGTAGCACTGAATTTTTCAGGTCAAGATGTGGAAACATTAGAAAGAGAAACACAGTGATAGTAGACAAGCAGAGTATCCAATTAGATGAATTGATTTTAGATCTACCTGTGGATCTTCCATATATATTTTAAAATACTGCTATGTGTATGTGCATCTGGTTTAAAAAGATACATGTTGTGAGAATGAAAACCATGTTTACCAACTCCATTAGACGATTTAAGGTGCACACCATGCCTCAGGTGATCTTTGGCCTATGAACTGACAGACTCAAGCGCACATTTGAACTGAAACAGAGATTTGCCCCATCCTTGAAACTGTTCCATTTATGTGGCGTTATTTCACCTGCTTGCAGAAGTTCTCATATTTTTTCCCATTCCCCAGTTTTACATGTCAGACTTGCAGTATGGATCCCCCTCCGCTCTGCTTTCAAGACAGTGTGCAGCACTGAGTTAGTTCTTGTTGAAAGGTCTTTGGCA